GATATTTGACAATGTTGTTGGGAAGTAGAATATTTCCATGGTGTAAGTTGCAAAGCTTTTTAGCAATTATGTGTCTGTGTTTAAACTTATCATCATTAATACTTAGGTCGATATGATATTATGCTTCATCTTAATTCGGGTTTCATCAACGAGTTTTTTTAGTATCGCATTATGTTTTGGGATTTCATTATTTAAATGTTGGAATTCATTTTCAGCTGTAGTTTTTTTGTCGTAAAATAAGATTTTTTTTCTGAATGTTGTAGTGTAACTTTCATTGTTGACTTCCCGGTTATGTAATTTAATAACTGTGTATTTGCGCAATAACCTATCTTTTATACAAGTTTTATTAAAACGACTGACAAGTTACTACAGTTAAGATTTTATTTAATTTTTCTTGTGTTCTTATAATTTACCAGGAGTGAAACTATATATATATATATATATATATAATATAATATTAGTGGTCAATATATATATATATATATATATATATATATATATATATATATATATATATATATATATATATATATCCTCCTTAGGTTTACCCATACAGATTACCTAGTTTTTTCATAAACTATATATATATATATATATATATATATATTTCCAAGACGATAGAACCCAGGTAGATGTCAATGTCCAAAACAGAGCAAGAATATAATATAAAAGGCTTACAAATACTAATATTCTATGGTTATAATTTATTACATTGGAATCGTAATCACGATCCAATTCCTCAGAAAATTCAAAAAGAATTACGATTCCAATGTAATAAATTATAACCATGGAATATTAGTGTTTGAGCCTTTTATAATATTATCAAGACACACGCACACACACTCATATATATATATATATATATATATATATATATATATATATATATATATATATATATGCGTGTGTGTGTATAGTGATTGTTTGACAAATGAAAAACGTTTCTTTGAAAATAGATTTGATTATGCTTTTCACCATTCTTGGTTTTATAAGATCCAAAAGAAAACAAAGGATTGGGTGCATGTGTATTCGCTTGTATGCTTAAATAATTAATCATATTACTTTTTCCCTAAGCTGTCGTTTCTCGTGATTCTATGATTCATTACTTAAGCATAGACACAAATACATATACACACAATTCTTTGTTTCGTTTTTGGATATGATGAAGCCTAGAAGAGCGAAACGCGTAATGAAATTTATTTTCACTGAAACGTTTTCCATTGGTCAAATTTCTTTAAATTTTTCTTAGGATTCTATATCCTAATTTAACCCCCTCCATATATATATATATATATATATATATATATATATATATATATATATATATATATATGGTTTGCATGTATGAATTGTTAAGTAGAATTCATCTCCGTACTTATATCTGTATGTATAAGCGAATTTGTATATGTATGCCGTGTTAACCTCTGAGAACGTTGGTATATGTGTGTGACTACACATCTACGTGTGTTTGTTTATGTATATATTTTCTACGTAAGTTGTTCCTTACAGAATTGATGGCTTCTCTCCAGATTTCGCTTGTATTTGTTTTCTGATCTAAAAATCTATAAATCAATCGTTAGTTTACTCCATTGTTTCTTAAGAAATGATGAACTTAGTAATAAAAGAAACGAGATGACGGCCAAATGTGTGGCACGGTTGTCATTTATTCCCGGCTTGGGAACAATCAAGATTTTTTATGTAGCCAGAGTAATGTGCTGGCTGATAGCACAATAGAATATGATACACTTTGGTTTGACTTGTATTCAAGACATTTTCATTTGGGCGTTATTTAATATCAAAATGAAATTCTTGGGAAACAATGCAAATTTCTTAGGATAAAGAATGGAATTTTTAAAGTTATTACAAGATCTATTTTTTTAAAGACAATTAAAGTTAATAAATGTATCAAATCGGTTTCGAAACTGTGATCGACTTGAAGGAATATCATTTTATTTCATCTGGCATCTAGGAAACAAATATTTTTGCTTCGTTTTTTAAACCATATCCACTTGCCATCAATTAAAACAGGCATTAGCGTAAAACACTTTCTCTTTCTCTCTTTTTTTTAAAATAAGTTCACCACAAGCAAGGCTTTAACGCCACTAAGACGCAATAGACGACTGAAAGTGAAAAAGAAAGAAAGGACTTTAGAAAGAACCGAAAACCAGATAATAGGATAAATTTCAGAGTTTATGCCGAGAAGTTAAGAGTTTAGAGTTGAAATAGAATTTAGAAGGAACTGGAAACCTAATCCTAAACAGAAAGCATAGGATAAAGCTTTATTTTTGTTCAAAAGACGGGGAGGAATGTGAACCGGACTATAGGTGCGCCTGCTTTTCAGTATATCTAAATTATAACTATAAACTATAATTTTGAAAAGTGAAAATTTAACTGAAATATATTCGAACATTTCCGCGTTTAAATCTGATATAAAAAAATAATACAAATTTTCAATAAATTTGTTTAAAAAAAGGAAAGAAAGTGGCATTCGTTTAAATTGGCGACAGGTTGTTTTTGGTTTAGTGGCATATCAGTTTCTATGGGTTATTTAATGCCGAAATTTTTTAAACAATTCTATGTTTTCTTTGGAGATAATAATGGTTTGAGAAATACAAGTCTTACTAATTAACCCATAGCTGGGAGAGAAGATGTGGGTTCATATATTTATCAAGGGCATTAAATCAGCCTCACATCGAAACTTACTGCACCTGGCATTTCCAAGTGATTACCCATTTAGGTGCTGGCCATACTTGACGTTGCTTAACTTCGGTGATATTACGGGAACCGGTGTTTCAAGGTGATGTCGCCGTAAGACAACGTTGTTTTTTTTCCTGTAACTAAGCTATGACTATAAACTAAAAAAGTAAAATTTGGTCATGATCTGCTCTCAGACAAGCAATATGGTTTCCGCTTTTCCCGGTCCACCGCTGACGTACTCACGGCCATAACTAAATTTATGCACCATGCACTTGACAATGACGGAGAAGCTCGAGCCATAGCTCTAGATATCTCTAAAGCGTTTGATAGGGTCTGGCACACAGGCCTTCTTCGTAAGCTTCAGGGATACAGCATTAAAGGACGATTATTTGACTTAATTAAATCATTCCTGCCAAACCGTGAAATGAAGGTCGTCCTAAACGGGTTCTCTAGTTCCTTTCATGTGAACGCTTGTGTTCCCTAAGGCGCTATCCTGGGGCCGTCACTGTTTCTGATCTTCATCGACGATCTTCCTGATGTCAACAACTCCCAAGTTGACATCTAGGCTGACGACACTACTATTTACTCCTGCCTTAATAGTAGACAAAACTAATCTGGCCGTAGGCCTCGAGAATGACCTCCAATCTGTGGTTGACTGGTGCAGGAAATGGCTTGTAAAATTTAATGCCTCTAAAAAGAGCACCCTCCATGCCTCCCATCAGGATTGCTGATGCCCAACTTCACGAGAGCGCCTCTCTCCGCTTGTTTGGTCTCACGCTGACCGCTAACGTTAAGTGGAACATCTACATTGAATCTATAGCTTTATCTAGCGTAACGAAAGTTGTCACGCCAGAAGGTTTTTCTTGCCTGAGTCCATCCTTCAAATCTACAAATCAACCATTCATCCTTGCATGGAATACTGCTACCATATATAGTCTGGTGCCCCTGCTGTTCATCTTGAGGTCCTAGACAAAATCCAGAGACGGATATGCAACGCATTTGGTCCTGATCTTGGCACCCCGTCTACAGTCACTTTCTCACAGACGTGCTGTGGCTTCCCTCTGTCTTTTCTACAAGTAATTTTATGGCAACTGCTCCGACAAACTACTTTCACTGTTTCCCAAATTGCATGAATTTAAGCGCTCTACGAGCTTGGCATCTCGGTCCCATCTTTTCACTGTCGAAACGACTAAATGTAGTCATCTCTTCTACTCCAACAGCTTCTTATCTCGCACCTCCCGTCTGTGGAACTCACTTCCTATCACTTGCTTCCCTGATAGCTATAATCTTCAAATATTCAAATGTAATGTCAATCGACATCTTCTGATGCCTTGACCTTGATCCCCCTCCTTCTCATTATCCGTTTCCCAAACACTCCTCTTTACTCTTACTCTCACTTTTTGTAACCCCTTGCGTGATAGTGGCACCCCTGCCTTGCTTGGGACGAATTGCTTATAAACAAATAAATGAAAAATGAACAGTCTAATAAATAGTGTTTAATATTTTCGTTGTAAATTCTCAAGAACAACAAAATGTATAAATTGATTTTAATTATATGTTTAGGTTTTATTCCAATTCTAATCATTACTTTTTATAACAATAAACATTACCGAGAAATGAAGGTAGTTAAATTAAAAGCGGCGTCATGGGGAAAAACCACCCTCCATTTTATTTTGGATTTTTTTTTCAATCCGCCATGCCCTGTATAGTGAAATGAATCAACCCCATTCCTTTCTTATTTCATTAATAAAGATCTCTTCCAAGTCACTACAATTTTGACCTTTTCAAGTTTAGGGTTAACAGTTATATTCCCTACATAGTCCCATGAACTTCAAATCTTGCCTTTTCTTACGCTCATACAACAGCGCACAGTAATCTTCTACCATGAGTGGCTTTGGGGCCTGGTATTGGGTGGACAGTTCTATATAGAAATGAACAGAAAAACGTTTGTTGGTCAAAACTCGGTGCGAATTATCTACGGAGAGGCTGAGAGATTGAGATATTAGGCAGGTTTCAATAACAAGAGTTGCGATTATTCTCACTTTAATAATCGGTGAAGTTTGGACGTCATCTTCATTTGGTGATAATAGACCAGAAATAATTAATACGAATATTAAAAAAAGAAAAAGAAAAGGAAGATTCTTACACTTTTTAAAACGAGAATCATAAAAAAATGAATTCAAGTTAAACTAAAAAGACAATTAATAAAAACCACTCTTTCGTGCTCTCTCTCATTTTCTTTCTTTCGTTTTTTCTTTCTTTCCTTTTTTCTTTCCTTATTTATAGATTCACAGCCTCATCACATTGAAACAAAGGTTCTTGTGCGATCACCGAAGTTAAGCAGCATCGAGCCTGGTCAGTAACTAGGCGGTTGACCGCTTGGGAACACCAGGTGCTGTAAGATTGGATGTGCGGCTGGTATGATTGATGTATCTATCAATCTATTCTTTATATGCATACAATATATATATATATATATATATATATATGCATATGTATATATATATGTGTGTGTGTGTGTATACATACGCGACAGACTGTGCAAGACCATCATGCAAGGCACCGTTGTAGGTGGACGTAGGAGAGGACGCCAATGCCAAAACTGGTTGGACAATGTTAGTATGGACTTGAATCCGTCGACATAACCCATCTCTCCGGCAAATTGAAGACATGGGGCTACCGGGATGGTTTGCTACCCCGACTTCTGTGACCGTTGCGCGTGTATGATATTACTCTGTCTCGCATTCAACAAGTACCTACGCAAGTGGCTTGGAGTTCCACACCTGCTTCTCTATGGCGGGACTCTATACCAATGCCGGTAACCTGCAACTTCCCATCCCCTCAATGGTGGAGCAGTTCAAGGTTGGGAAGTTACGCATTCACGTGATGATGAAGGAGTCAAGCGATGAGTTCATCCACAGGTTACGGCCAGATATCAAAACTGGCACCAAAACGTCGGAAGTAGAAGCCATCCAAGAAGCAGAATCCAGCCCGCGCACCAAGGAGATTATGGGGTAACCCAAACCAATCGAGCCGTCCTGGGCAGTACAAGCAACCAGTTTTTTTTTCGGAACAGGATCCAAAGGGAAAAAGAGACATGATGATTGAAGAAATCAGGAATTTTGCAGAAAAGCAGCGAACAACTACTGCTGAATGTCAGTCCAAATATGCTTGGACTGTATGGTGTGATACTGATCCGATGAAGCTATCATGGAATACTCTGATTGCAACGGAGCCATTGACAATACCAGCTTGTGATCTGCCTATGATATCATACCAAATGCAACCAACATCAAGCTGTAAGGATACACTGACACTGATGTATGCGCATTATGTCAAAATGATCGAGGAATTTTGCGTCACGTGCTCTCTGAATGCCCAAAATCATTAGGGCCACAGTGTGAAGCCAATAAACAGTATGTAACGGCCAGAGAACCTAAGATCTGTTTTCACAAGGAAGGTGAATGCCCTGGGCGGAAGACCCAAATAACTCCCAACCTGACGCTGTCTGAGTGGAGCCCGCGATTAGATGGTGTTAGTTGTTCTTATATCACTTCTGCAATTTCCGGCACACATTATTCCAACAGACGCACGCCCTGACATTGTAGCGTCAAAGAAGTGTGTACTCCTAGCAGAATTAACGGTTCTATAGGAGGAGAAGAGGGAGGAGACGCATAAGCGAAAGAAAAACCGCTAGGAATCGCTGCGATACCACTGCATGGATAAAAGGTGGACATTTCATGTGCTGCCTATTGAGGTCGAGTGTCTTGGATTCCCTGACGGTCAATCATTTCGTTCCTTTTGAAGGTGGGTATCACTGGTCGAAACCTGGGGCGTGCTTCACAAGACAATCACCCAACAGGCATCGAATTGGATCTGGTCAAGACTCAAATAAAATTAAATAAAACCATGCTCGTAACACAATGGTACTTCCGAAGTTAAACACATCTGTTTACCTTTTATTCTACGTCATTAATAATGGTCGCTACGAGCGCGTTGTGTATTTTAACTCAACGTTGAAAATTTCAGTTGCAGATTGTAAAAAGAAATTGCAAGTGACTGACACGTATACGAAAACGATGCCCTGTTCGATGGTTAAAAAAAATGCTGGTGGCGCTTGGGGTGGCATTATCGCCTTAGCCACCGAAACACTCTTACCTCCCCTGGTTGGCGTCGGATGCGAGCAGAGTATCGCACGTGATTTCACATGATGTATGTAGAGAATTGAATATATATATATATATATATATATATATATATATATATATATATATGATGATGATGATGATGATGATTCCAGACGAAGACCATCTCTTCAGTTGGTAGTTTTTTCAGGGTTTTCCAATGAGAATGTTCTTAGTTACATTATTTACACCCGAGTTGGCGCTATGCTATGGGCCCGTAAGTAATTCTTAAGGCCAGCTTCACTTTTACAACCATTCTAACTCATGCAGCAAATATATAGTCTATCTATGTTGGAAACTTGCCTGTCCCTTAGTACAATCATGTGACGTTAAAAGTCCCGCAACAGACTGACAAACCTTTTAACAAAACTCACACAAGTAATCTGCAGGTCTTTCAAACATTCGCAGGAGTTGGTGTGATCATATGAGACTGGCTAAACCTGCCGCCGAGTGGGTGAATTTTCCACAAATACTGCAAGTGTGTTGGTGTCCTTATAGCTCTGGGGGGATTTCTGTTTCTCCCTCCCTAAGCACGAGCTTTCTGTTGGAATGCTCAATTCTCTTCTACTCAAAATTGTTGCAGCGTCCCCAAACAGACGATATATATAGATACGTACATATATGTGGGTTCGTGTGAGCGTGTGAGAGAGGAAAAAGAGAGAGAGAGAGAGAGAGAGAGAGAGAGGGAAAGAGAGAGAGAGAGGGAAAGATAGAGAGAGAGGGGGAAAGAGAGAGAGAGAGAGCGTGTGTTTTTGTGTATGTATGTATGTATGTATGTATGTATGTATGTATGTCCTATTTGCTAGTTATTAAGACACATTTAAATAAAAGAGAAATCTACAGAAACATTGTGATTTGTAATTATCATTAGTGGAGCGTGTACCGTGGGACAAAATGGACGGCTGTGGGACTTGAATGTCGGTGCGAAATACCTTTAAATACACTTGTCAATCATTTGTCTTGTAAATCAGAAAAAATGGAACACAAATGCGCACGCACACATATGAATATACATATATATATATACATTATATCATATATATCACACACACACACACACACACACACACACACACACACACACACATATATATATATATATATATATATATATATATATATATATATTGAGTCATGTTTCGTTGAATAATTTACACAAGTTTTTACTATTTATTTTTAATAGAATCCTTTCATATTTACAGATAAGCTTTTGGGTGTATCATTATTTATGAAAGAAAAAATAACCGTATTCCGAGTACTTTTGTCGTTAGCCCAGTGCGTTCATTATAAAATGATGAAAACACTGTGACACACCATCCAAATAGTATTCTTAAAACAGAAACATTTTATTAATCAAAAAATTGGATACAAAACTATTGTCTCGATTAAAAATAGAAATTTTAAAGCATATTTCGTCTGTTGCTTCGTCAAACGAAAAATCTTCGGAATTAAGAAACTCTACTGAAAGGAAAAAAAATCGTTGCAATGGAATTAAATAAGACAAGACGGAGGGGGAAGTAAAAAGAAGTTTAAAGTTTCCCAGAATTAGACAAAGACTCGCCGAAGAATGCCAGTTTATCTTTCAGCTCCCTCTGCCTACACAGAATGTGTCAAGACGTGTTGATAACAACCGCCTCCAAGATGGTAAAATGGAGTGCAATACAGAGAAGAATTCCACTGAATAATTAGACCTATAAGTGACAGAACACAATAAATGCTCCTCAATGGCAAACTCTTGTGCCTGTGAGTGCCCGGATGCTAATGGAGCACATCTACGTATAAAGCCAAGCACGTGTTGCGCAATCCGCACCTCCAGCCGTTAGATAGTCTTACCCAGATAACCGGCACCGATACTTAAAATGATAAATAACAGAACTTTGTTGATTAGTGGGAAAAACATCTTTACGAACAGATGGGAAAGCCTTCCTAGTAGCAAAGATGTTTTTTACTACTACTGAAGCACTGAATGACATTTGAGGGGGGGGGTCTTATCAGCGCATAATAAGAGCCAATCCAAGGCAATCTCATGCAAACAGAACACTTAGGTGGACCAAATGTTTTAATTTCATTACACTTAGAAAGAAAATTTAATTCTAATGTTTATTTTGACGACACCTTCCGGAGAGCCGTTGGCTAAAAAGATATTGGTTATTTGTCTAAGGTCGGCATCAAATTGGCACACCAAATATATCATCATTACACGATGAATAAGTGTTTTGACAAGGTTAATTTTCCAAGTTTTATCAACAAAAGAGTCACAACTAAAATAAAACCCAATAAAAGTGGGCTTCCTATATACGCTGGTGAGGAAATAATTGGGAGTTCCCTCAACCAGCACGTCAATGAAAGGTAACATATTATTACTCAACACCGACATCGTAAATTGTAAAGAGGGCTGGATACTATTTACATGTTGAAAAACCTGTCTGCTTCATTATGTGAAGAAAATCATGTAAACGGAAAAAGCAGTATGGTTTAGGGACCTTATCAAACAATTGCTTCTCATGAAACCCTACATAAATATTGGCCATGAGAGGTCCCAATGGGCTACGCTTTACTACCCATCAGTTTGTTGATACATGTCATTATCAAAGCTGAAAGATATATACTTAGTAGCCATCTCCGTCAGCACGATAAAGACCCTCTCAGGAAAAGATGGAGGCTTTAAGGGGTCATGATAAAAATAATCAACCCCAATGTCAATAATCTCGTCAAGAGGGACATTGGTGAACAGACTACAAATATCAAAAGGCACGGTAAGCTCCGTGTCAGCAGTACATTACAGTTTACATATATCAAAGGCAAACTATAATGAGTCTGAATCAGAATTATACTGCCAAACAAGATCAAGAACTTCAACGAACCACTTCGTCAACTCATACTGTGCAGAGCCCACCATAGACAAAATGCTTCATTTAATTCTATTGCAAAAGAAATTTGTCGCTTTTAATTCTGTTACAAGTAAGGATTTTTTTTTCAGTAGTTTTTCTTAATTTCGACGCTTTTTCTCCTGACGAAGCGTCGGACGAAATGTACCTTAATATTTCTATTTTTAATCGGGACGATACTTTTGTATCCGATTTTTTGATAAATAAAATGTTCTTTCTATAAACTTTTCTAATGGCGTAGACATTCCCTTTTTCTGTTTTGTTCCTTTTTTCTCTTATACAAATTTCCCTTCTCCTGAAAGACTACATTTCCGAAAATAAGGGAATTCTTTAAAAATCGGAATCACCCTCAAAAAAAAGAAGGCAGCAATGCCACCAAAACTCAAGGGGTTACAGGGTGTGGAAGAATTAGAAACAGAAACGTAATTATTGAGCTCGAAGAGGAAAGAATAATCAGGAGAACAGTAGATAGCGATTGGCATTGCATTTAAATTTTTTCAGATTAATGTTGGTTGGAAAGCATTGATCCGAAATGAAGTTTCACAAGAAGAGAAAGCGAGGAAAGAAACTGTTAGCATAGAAGTTACGACTATATTTAGCCAGATCAACAGATGAAATCACGACGCCACTCTAGTAGTGCGCTTAAATTCAAAAATTCTAGGTACTATAGCGAACAGCTCATCTGAATAATTACTACTAAATGTTTTAGAAAAAAGACATAGAGAGGCAACCTTACGGTGGTGGGAAAGTGACTGGAGCTGAGCCGTCGGATCAAGACTAGTAATAAATGTTGATTCTTCTTTGGATGTTATCAAGGAGCTCAATATAAATAGCAGGGGAATCGGACAATATGTGGCACCAATATTCTATGTATGAACGAATGGTAGATTTATAGATATGTAAGATAGATGCTGGAAAAAAATTGTCTCGTCCAACATAGTGAACCGAGTTTCTTAGCAGCTGACCTAGCAATGGATTCAATACATTTTTGATTCCTGCCTAGATATATATCTTCTTTAATAAGCCAAATCCATCCATCTATCTATCTATCTATCTATCTATCTATCTATCTATCTACATATATATATATATATATATATATATATATATATATATATATATATATATATATATACAACACACAAAATCAAAATAAAATTATTCGAATGGAGTACAATGATAATATATGGAATAATGCTGTCTGCATAACTGCACGGATTGAATATTAATAAAAAACATTGTGCTATGATTGTCGTGACTATGATTTCTCTGAGGTATATATTCGCCCTTGAATCCTTTGTCAGCCGCTTAATGATTAAACACAGATGTATGAAAATACAGTAGCGACTGACCATTCGGTTAATACCATTTTGATATATATATATATATATATATATATATATATATATATATATATATATATATATATGTGTGTGTGTGTGTGTGTGTGTGTGTGTGTGTAATTATGCATCTGTAGATAGAAAAATCGTTAGTGAATCACAAAGAACGGAATTTTGTTTGTATAAATTGTATCTTTTATTTTAATAATTATAAAGAAAAGCTTTTAGACTTTCCTTGGAAGTTGATACATACAAGATGACTTCCTTCATCTATTCAATGTCCATCGTCTATGTGTGGCAAAACTTCATTCGTACTGTTATTCAGTCATTCATTCGTCGTTTTTTTACCCTTTCATTCATTCATTCATTTTTCTTCTCACTTCTTTCGGACTTTCTTTCAAACTATCGGCGATTTCACCCTTTCGTTCACTTGTTTCGTCAGTCAAACTTTCACAATACGTTTGCTTCACATAACATGTAAAGATTTCACAACTTTTATCACGTGACATTTGCTTCACGTGACTTCCAGTTTTTTCGGTTTTTTTTTGTTTTTTTTTGTTTTTTTGTTTTTTTAATTTTGTGTACACTTTGAGTGTTTGGAGTTTTTGTTTTATTTTTTATTTGTTTGTTTTTTTTTTGTTTTTTTTTTTTTGCATGTAAGCAATAATAATTTTATTGTACTGAATAATATCAATACCTTTTATAGTTTCTGTTTTTTTTAATTTATTGATTTAAAAAAAAAATCCAGTTCGATACTTTGTCGAATAAGTCACATTTTTAAAGTCACATAGATCAGCATTTTTTTTTTTTCAATTTGTAGCAATAATTATTTTTTTCCTTATTATTAAGATTATTATTATTAATTTTTATGATTAGAAATATTTCTTAGAAATATTTCGCCGCTTCCTTGGGAAAAAGTCTGTTTCGCATTCCGTCTATATCTCTAGCCGGTGAGAAAAGTCCCTTTTGTGTACTGGCTAATTTATCTGCACTGTGCAATAGTTCAACACTGGCTGCATTGTGTACAGCCGCCGAGGCCACCCCTAACGCCGTCTTTGATGAGGTGTGTGTTGAAAGAGTATATGGGTAGGAAAGCGTTGTGTGTGACATGGAAATAGGATAAGCGCTGAGTGCACCATATCTACCGCCGTTCCACGATTGACTGGCCGATTGAAGGTATAAATAGCCGGGACTCGGGTGTAGTCTATTACCCGACGTAAGTACAGTGGCTACAGATTTCGAACCGCTGCTTCCACTAACGCCACCAACCGGACTACTACTGTTACTATTGCTGTCATTGCTACTAGAAGGGGAGTTGACGAGGAATTGGGACACGGACCAGATTTTGGGCCGAGGTGGTGATGTAGTGTCTCTGTCGTTTCGTGATTGTGAATTGTGGTTACTGTTGGCCGTGCTGCTACTGTTGTTGCTACTGTTGTTGTGGTTGTGACTGCTATTGCTGCTGCTTAGACCGGGCAAGTGAGAGTCCTTTGTTGTTTCACTGTCTCGAGTCGAGTCAGATAAAGCGTCCACGCGGCGAGAATCATTAGCCGATAGAGAGACGCCGTTCGAGGAGTGTTTGCCAGTATGGCCGTGCCTGAGTGAGAGCGCGCGACGTTCTTTGCTCGAGGTAGATAGGTGTTCGCCTTTTATTAGCGGATGTCCTTCGTCGTCGACGTCTGAGTCGGGGTCGGAATCGTTTTCACTCTCTATTATCTTTTCTCTTGGTCCCTCATTCGGATCCACAACCATGTGACCTGTAAATGACGAAACAAAAGAGACGGTGAATTATACGTTATTTTTGTTTGTTTATTTTCAATAAAATTTACCCAATACAAACAAGCTGAAATTACAGATTTACAGTCGAAATGACAATGATGAATGAGGTGCGTCATTGAATGAAAAGGAAGGGGTGAAATTTATGAGAATAAGGCGGACACATAACGATTAAACACTGACTTGAAGTGGTTAAGATTCAAATGTTCAAGGAAGCACTCATGCGGGAGTCTGTTCCACAAAGTGGCAGTTTTTTTTAGAAAAAAAATACTGAGTGGAACATTCTTTTAACATTTGGAATACGAGGGAAATTAGAGTGATTTGACTATGCGGAAAAGAGGTGGATTCATGCCTTCTCAAGGGTATATGCGTATATATGAATATAACCAACCTGAACTAGAACTTAGCTCTCCGATTTGGAATTCCGAGACGTTATCCATTACACCACTCGCACATCCAAGCTTACAGAATCTGGTATTCCCTAGCGGTCACTCATCTAGGTGAATTTAAGCATTGCTACTAGATTAGCATCCAGTTCCCATCCTTTTACTGTTGAAATAGTTAAATATAACCGCCATTTCTAATACAACAGTTTCTTTTCTCGCACTTCCCGCCCGTAGAGCTCTCTTCCATTTACTTGCTTCCCTGATAACTGCAATCTTCAAACATTTAAATGCAACGTCAATCGCCATCTTCTATCTTCTTAAATCCTTTTATCGTTTCATCAATCCCCACATACCCAATCTTTTCTTTCAATTTCACTCTCTGTAACTCACTGGAGACTAGTGGTATTCCCGCCTTGTTTGGGTTGAAATGATTAAAAGAATTGTACTAGCCAGGATCTACGTTGCTTAACTTCGGCGATCGTACGAGAACTGGTGTTTCAAGAGTTACAATTTATATATATTATTTCGAATATGATTTTGAAAGTTTGACTACAAGACGAATACAGATACTAACAATTATCATGATAGTTGTTTATTTATTAAGCTACATTTGAGATATCTATTTAACTATAACTATAGATATTTAGCCACTTGTTCACTTTTTCACACATTAACAGCTGATGAGGTTCGATACTATTCAGGCTGTTCGACATTTTCTCACATTATCGTCTCTTCAGGTTTTTTTTTTTATGTAAAGCAAATTGTAGCTGGTTATTTTATCAAATAGCTAAAAGTTGGTCAATCAAGAAAACGTGGAAATGTGTCTAGAGACGAGGATGGGCAATAGTAGGGGAAACGTTCAACTTTTCAACGAGAGCTCAGTTGCACATTTATTTTATTTCATTTTTTTTTCTTCTTCTTATCTTCGTAACCAGTGATATACAAAAGACTTTTGCGTCCAATACAAATAACAGCATTGATTGCAAACTACAGAATTGCATGCTTCGTTGGTGTCTTTCGGACTTTGTTCTCTTTGAAAACCAATCGCTTGATTTGAAGCAGAGGAACAAGTAAGTCAAACTAAAAAAAAAAAAAAAAAAGAAACTAGGTAAGCGTTCTATTGTCAAAGTCGAGTGCACTTGACAGCAAGAGCTTCAGTTTCGTGCCATTGTTCTTCAAACAATAAAGAAACTAACCACCAACACATACACACATAACCAATCATAGGTGTGCATGCGTGCGTAGCTATTCATATCTATGAAATTAATATGTATTATATATAAACATGGGTCTGTATAATTCGTGTGAATTATTGAACCCTACTAAACAGGGTAGAATTCTTTAGTTGATACTGTCTAGAAAGATAAGGTAATCATGGGAAAAGGATTTTTTTCGCAAAAGCACACTCGCTGCCTCCATACAATGTTATGATACCAATAAGTCTTTTGTCTAAATATGCTAGTCATGCCAACTTCGAATTGGTACCTGTTCGTTGTGTAATGTTTAGCAAGCTTATCATACTATATCAATTTCGACTGAATAGTGAGTTCGATCCTCACCGGATGCCTCAGCTTTGTGCCAAATCTAAGCTATGTTTGATTTTTTTTTTGTTAACTTTTTATGTAAATTTCGGGGATCAGGTGTTATCATTATTTACATTATTTGCACGCGGACTATTGTCCCTATCTTTGTTGTTGTTATTACAAAGTTTCTGTCTTTGTGCAAACCCCTACCGGCGTTCATCGGCTGATTGTCTATCCGAGTAAGCTTCGAGGAATTTCGATCTGAACCCTTAGTTTAACCTGGACATTGTCGGCGGAGCGAGAACAGTCTATCCTGTTGATTAAAGAAATGGGAACGTCTACTGCAGCACGTGTGCCCACTAAATATAACGCTTATAATAATAACGTTGGATTAAAAGAAATTCAATTAATTGCTGATACATTATCAGACGAAAAAGCCACAGCCACGCTGCTCCTATTTGAGAATCAATTAAGCGATGGTATTACTCAACATCGAGTGGCAACCATCATGTGTATTAATCAACGTTTCTCAACCGGTACGCCTGAAAAGTAGCCAGGTGCGCCCCAAGTAAACAGAAAAGTAATTCATGAATTATTTTTATATTATAAAAATGCTTTTAAAAAGCTAGGAACACCAAGCACTTGGCTTCCATGTCTAATTCAAGTCTTTGTCATTTGATATTCTAAACTGGATGCTAAATGACTTAATCTTTAAAAAGGTGTAGATAATCCTTTCCCTTTTGGCTCCCTCAAGGGATTTAAATCAGTCATTATCGGCCTCTCTAAAAATAGTAGATGCTTCATAAATCTCTTTATATCGGGGGTCGTCAAACGGAGTCTGAGGGTCCCCCACTAAGTGTTGATGAAGAGTTCTAAGGCGAAAATGTTAGTGAAACAGTCGAACTGGGACCGATGTGCTTATGACACAGAGTTAAATTTTAGTTTGTTTACATGTATGTTGTAGTCTTCGGTGCAAATGAAAGAAAGGCACTGAGTTTGACAGTCAACATAAACAAAGGCCTTAGTTAAATCTACTTAAGTGGTTTTTAACTTATTTTTATATAACTTATTTTGATGAGACTTATTTAATGCTACATTGAGTACTGTTAGCTCTTTTTTAACTGTTTTTTTGTTTTTGTTTTTTTTGCGGGTTCTTTTTTGGGGAGGAGGGGGATTCTGAAACTGACGGTGGGGGGAATTTTGAAACTGATCAAAATTTCTTAATTTTTCATACATTTTACTTAATTTTTTTTTTTTTATTGTCACAATCAGTGCGAGTTTTAATGTTCAAAAATGTTTTAAATAGTGGGATCGCTGCTGAAGGAAGAGAAACAGAAGTGTTCTCCTGTCAAAAAAGTTTAACGAATCCTGCTTTAAATGAAAATTGAACCGCTTAAATATACAATGTAATGTCCTAAAAATAAACGCCTATTTCAGGAGACTTCTTTCTTATTTTCTTATTTTCTTATTTTCAAATCTCATGACTATTTTTTCGTAATTAACTTTTAAAATGCGACCCAGAGTTTTAGTTATTTTACAAGCACGCCTTCAAGTAAAAAGAAAAAAAAAATTAAAAAACACCGGTATAAATGGTAATATATGTGTTTGCCTGTGTATTTATTCACTGCTACATGTTCACACGCGAATAAGATTTCCGAAATGCCATCTTACCCATTTCATTGACATGCGTATTGTTTGTATATTAATTAATTATTTATGTGTAAATATCTATATATTCATTATTTGATCCAATAATATTTGAGGGAATGGCGCAGGCTGTAACAGATGTTATGCAACAGATTCTAAGCTGAAAGGATGTCCTGTGAATTTGCAAGCCTCCTTTCTGCCTCTTCGCCTTTTAGCCTTCTGATACGCCAAAGAACCCTTCTAGTCATTCTAATGAAAAGTCACATTTAAACTACAGACTAATAACAATTACCATTATCTATAACATCTCTTTCATAAACTTTTCGCTAGTATTAAAACATTATTTAGTTTTTACAAATTTTCGCATAAAAGATTTTAAAAAATATAATTATATGCATGAAGCGAAATCGGTTTTTAATATTAAATCAAAGGTTACTTTAATGATCGTATTTTGATTTTTTAATCGATTTCTACCTTTCAGGTTAATGGCAGGATAATATCCTGGGAATTGTCTCGTGAGCATTCTTCCTGCAAAGCCTCGATTTCAATTCTCTTCTCTCTCTTAACATTTGCTCATTTTAAATTTTCATTACCCTTTTTCTCTGTTCTTTTCTTGTTTTTAGCTTCTTTCATTGTTTTTGGTGGTGGGGGTGCCTCTTTCTTTAATTTTTCCTCCTTCTCAGCGCATTGCATCTAAATATGCAGCACTTATGGCTAAAGTGGTTAAATAAAATTGTTCGCTGATACTAATAGACAACGACGTTCAGTTTGCTCGTCATAAACTATGTATGAACCAGCAATCGATGGCGTTTGACGTTATTTATTCACTGGAGATGGCTCGACGGAATCCAGCTGCTTTTTGGCATTTGTATTAATAGTATTTCTGCGGGGATCACGAAATTTTAAAGCACACAAGCGATACCTCTGGGAAGAGAAAGATTTCTACTTTTTTGTTGTAAATGTTACCACTCCTCTCTTCTTCTTCTTCTACTACTACTACTAGTAGTAGTAGTATTAGCAGTAGTAGTATTAAAAAAGAAGATCAAGAACGCGTGGAATTTCTACGGTTACTGACAGCGAACATTATCATGCTTTGGCACTTCACCCAATCTTTGCCTGTATCTTCTCAGTCTCTCCCTCATCCCTTCCAATCTTCATTGTTCATCTATGTTTTTTATATAAATCTTATACAAATAAGCATCAGTTCCAAATGCGAAAATATTTCTTATGACATCCTCTTTCTCTCTTATCTTTCATTTGTTCTCTCTCTCTCTTTCTCTTTATCCATTAAGAATTTTAATGTACCTCAAATTTTATGCCTAACAATCTGTTCCACACATTGTCTCTTGATATCCACACATCAAGTCTGTCTCTGCCATTCTTTCATCGTCACTCTCTCTGTAAATTGTGTTGTTTTTTTCCTCGTTTTCAATTTATTTATTCTTTCAGATTTCTTAACACCGACCTCGATTTTTCTTCCTTCTCACTTTTCCCAATTCCTACACGCTTAATATTATTGTGTAGGATTCTTGGCAAGAAAGCTTAATTTATTCTAATTCTGAAAGGCCAGGTCATCTAGCAGATACTACACTCAGAAGGGCCAGAGGTTCAGGCACATACCACTGATCCTCGGCAGATATCATCATAGCTGGGAATAGAAGTAAGCAGAATAAGAGAATATATTATCATCTGCTTGAAAGTAAAATCAACACCAAGCGGCGACAGTCTGTTTCAGTCTTCAACGCAATCTTCTGGCCTGAAGACTGTCGTCGCTTAATGTTGACCTCAGTATTCATTTTTATATTTACATTGGCTCTATCCCTGATATTGAGCACTTCCACCCATAAATATAACATACTTTAAGACTACGTTTTTATCATATTTCCTTTTCCTGTCAAAAGACTTATTTAAGAGGTCAAATTGTCTGACCTCTTGACTGAGTACATTTGAACCTACGCAACTTAATAAAGATGGGCTTAAACACAACCCTATCTCTTTCTTCCATTTTTAACTTAATTCATTCTATGGTCCTCCCACTCCAATCTAAAACTGTCCTTCAAAAACTTGTATTAAAAATAAAATAAGAACATGTAAATTTGTAAACCAAATTCCTTTGTAGCTAGAGATGTAACCTGATGAACCAGGAAAAATATATTTTCTGGGGAAATAAATTATAGTCATTGAACCTTAAGGTGGTCTGTTTTTTAATTTAATTATATATATACATATATGATGTCCATAAAGTCTTTTTACAATTTGAAAAATATATTACAAAGGCAATTGTTAAGCTATCTTAATCAAATTAGTCCTATGTACTCAGTAGTTACCAAAATTTTAATCATATTGCATTTGTGCAGTTTTGAAATAATAGAGAACCGTCTGTATTACAAACGAAAGAACGTTTTTTTTTTGGAGGGGGGGAATGTTTACAGAGAAAATATAGATTCATTAATGATGGGGAAAATTATTATTTTTTACTTAGTTCTTTTTTATTTGGGACTGAAAAAGTAAAAACTGCAACAAGAACATTTTAAGCCATTGCCCCGTCTGTATTTCAAAATTTAATATTTTATTTTATTGGACTCACCCCAATTCCAAATTAAAATGAAAACGCACCCACGAAAAGGAAAATTACCATCATCTTTCAAAAAAAATTCTTTTATTGGGGTTTTATGAAAATTATAATCTTCCTTGTTTTGATAGTTTTTTTTTTCTTTATTGTATTTCTTTCTTTATTGTGTTTTATTAAAATAAAACCCTGTAAAAAATACTACAATTTGTAAAAATTTGAGGCGCTACGCCAATCCCCTCCCCCGCACCGTTAGTGCTAAGACCTTATGTATTCCTGCTAGAATCAATAAACGATAAACAGTCGGATACTGAGCAAGATCAAGAACTCTGTCAAAATGCGTGATTTCAACGCACCGCCTTTTTAGATGTGTTTGAACAAATTGCAAGGATTTGCTTATCACAAAAGAAAGTTACCTTCGCAAATTCTATTTTGCAATCCTTTAATGCTAAGCATACAAACCAATTCTAACGTAAATAACTGATTTCAAACAGGAAGTTCAATGCATTATCAATAAAATAATTAATCCCATAAAAATAGTAAAAAAAAATCACTTCAAGAAAGCAAATGCTTTCGACTTATCGCCTCTTTTCTTTTGACAACGATGACAAATGACAATTAAGAATGAGCTTAAGTGAATTAAAGTTAAGTCCTTTAATAGTCTCTTGTTTACCTTCAAGTCCATAAAACGTGGCTATGCTGCGAATTCCCGTTCGGTCAACGGAAGTTCAGCACGTGGATTCTTATCACATCAAACTATTTTAGGAGACACTTGGAACAGACAGTGAACTTTTGCCTTTGTAAATTATACGAATAACTTTTTTATTCAGATTTTATAAGTATCTTCGGCGAATGTGATGCTTACTGTTTTTATTTGCGACCCAAAAAGCTTTATCAGATAAATTACAGGTTTGCCTATCATCCAGTTCATACTGCTTCCCGATCTTTTGAACAGGTGTAGAGGTTCATCCCTTATCTCCTGTTTAGAACTGAGTTCCCGGTTCCTTCTAAAATCTACTTCAACTCTATACTTCCAACGTCTCCACCTGAACTCTGAAATTTTGAATCTTGAAGTCTAGAATTAGCTGTCTATCCTTCCTGTTATTTTGCTCTTTCTAACGCTAATACAATTCCACACTGTAACCCTCTACCTTGAGTGGCCCTTGGGCCTTGTATTAGATGAACATTAGTAAAAAAAGAAACATAATAATTATATCTATGTCCTTTGGTAAAATTAAGTCATATTCAACTCAAATAGGGGAACCTCGACGTGGAGTCATGGCGAGAAAGCTTGTCTCGCTAGTGAGCTCAACTCTCACAAAGTACGCCATACAATCAGGCTAGTGCCACATCTCAGCTATGCTTAGAAAATCACCATGTTATCTCTCTATATTTCTGAAATGAGTTTTTGTAGCTATTGACACTATTTACACTGTTCGGACTATTGTCCTCATCTTTATTGTCATATTCACGACATTTCGTCCGTTGTACTTTCCTGTCTTCTTCAGGTGATATACGTTGGTATTTCTGAACACTTTATTTAGTCAATGGGCATGACACGTTGAACTAGAGCAATCTACACCCGTGGACTAAATAAAGGGTTCGGTTCGAAATTCCAAAGCATATCAACTACAACGGCAGAAATATGTAAATAGTGTAAATCAGCTCAAGTAGTTTCTTATTCCGTCTCTCGAACCACAACTAACAGAAAAAAGTTCGATCTTCGCCCGTTAGCTCAAACTTTGGCTGATCGGTTTGCAAGCTAATCTTGCAGACAAATTCGATCGTCACCAGAGGCTCCACTTATGAGGCCTTATGCCTGAATAAAGTAGGCTGTGTAATTAACTTTAGTCCCTGACCTGAGAATATTTGTTAGGAAGCTCTCCAATCGCTCTCTTCTCACTGAAAGCTCGACACTTGTGACTATGTGCTGACTCAAGCTTAGATTAATATAAATAAACACGTGGAAAAACCAATACGCTACACCGTTTTCGGCGAGTCCTAGAATCCTCAGACTGAATCCGAATTACACCCAAAAGGTGTCAACTTCTTAGTGGATATTTGCAGACTCGACTATAAATCCAACCAACGTTTAATGTCGCCTTTTGACTTAAGCGGGGAGAAGCTGTTCGAGTGGAAATTACTTTTCACCGATGTAATACGGAGGGAATGTGGGTGGGGTTTGCTACAATGTGAGTAGAATAGCGGGTCCTATCTGTATAGGGTAGAACTGGCGGAACCAAGGAATGTAGCTTGTCCGAGCACTTTCCATGGAAATAGCAACAGAGCAGTGAGAGGTTTGCTACAGATCTTTCTGATTTTAGGATAAATCAGACCTATGTATACATTTTTTGATTCTAATGTAAACTGGATCTATGTCTACCTTTATGACACTGGTGCAAATCGGACTTATGCCTACATACCTATTAATTCACGGTGATCTTTGTCCTATAATATTTATATTCGACAATAAATAATCCAACACAGGTTGATGTTTATTCAATTAAGCAACATAACCATGTTTTTTTTTTCTTTTGTTTTGTGGCCGTACCTAAAAATGTAATTGTGAGAAAACTTTCACGAACTTTAAACACTTAAAGCGATCCTTTAAAGTATCAGGATGCATACTGTCTATGATTGATGCTTACCAGGACTATGGACACGGGGTGTTTCGTCTCCGGCATCTTCTTTTTCGGCCACCCCAGCCGTGGCGGCCAAGGAAGCGTCGCCATTCTCTGATTCTTTGTTTTCTGTTTCCCCTTCACTGTCTAAATTGTCCGTACTGTCCTCTGACCTGTTACGGGGTGACCAGGTCATTTTGTTTTCTTTCTTGAGACGTCGCCGTGCATTGGCGAACCACGTTGACACTTGCGTCAGGGTCATTTTCGTGATGATAGCCAGCATAATCTTTTCACCTTTGGTCGGATACGGGTTCTTACGGTGTTCGTACAACCACGCCTTCAGCGTATTGGTCGTCTCGCGTGTGGCGTTTTTCCTCCGGGCGTTCAAGTCTAGACCTCCATATCTAGGATCGAGAGAAAGAAAAAATAGAAGACATCAATGAGTAAATAAAATCTTAAATAATATATGTTTTATTTATTGAAGGTGAGTACATGATTCAAGACTTGAATTCTCTTAATCAGTTAAAGATTTGCATTCATTTCATTTTTAAGTTCAAATTTATGTGCAATAAATACTTATAACGGACAATAATTCAACGTTAGAAAAAGAAGATCGTACAGTAATTCAAAATTCAAATGAAGAATAGAATTAACAAGGGGAGGAAGATACGGGGTTTGAGCAACATTCGGTTATCATAATTCTTCAAAATCATTTTTACATCCTCAAACCTGACATATATGATATGATTATTTAAATAAGGCTCATTTTAGCAATCCAAAAACTAATTTTAATAGCCAATTTGTATGGCGTGTCCGCCCTGTAGATGTTTAAAAATCGAGGACTTTTATCCACAACCAGATGTTCTATTGCACTTTTGTGGAAATTACAAGATGTCTCACACCAATATAACAAACTTTACAGTTGGCGCGTTCAAATTTATATACGACACATGCTATAGAATCAATCGGTATTTTATTTTTATTTGAAAACTAATTTTCTAACTTATTTGAAAAACGGTTTAAATATGAAGTTTTATTCAGGTGGGATTTTGTTTTTCTTTTCTATATTAACCAGTCTCATTAGACCAAGACCTGAACTGCAGTATTGCAGCTTGATCATTCAAAGTGGCTGAAAATATCAGGAAACGCAGCGAAAGGGCGGAGAGCATTTCAAAAATGCTGACGGGGATTCGGAATCATGTGAAATATTTATTGATTGGATGGTCTCAGTTTTCGTGGTTTGCCACTGACCTTGTCTCAGCTTCGGGCGATACAAGTCCGTCTCTCAAAGTACACCTCCCTTCGCACCATTGCTCTGAGGCCAGTAATAATGCAATTATAAAAACGAGGAAGATTTTTTTTTTACACAAACATTACATGTAAATATGTGTGAGCTTCGAAATTATTAAAAATATGCTATGTCCATGTGACACCTCTTCTCTATGCTGAAAATACGAATGAATATATATATATATATATATATATATATATATATATATATATATATATATATATTACTTTTTAATAGATATCCAGGTTTTAGTAGATGTTCTGTTTATTTTAATCTATTAAACTGCCTATTTATTTATTTATTTTCATCTACTGGCCTGAATATTCGTGGAATCTTGTTAGAAAAAATATGCGCACTCGGCATCTCATTTCTATCGTTTATAACTACAATTCAGAAAAGACTTTGAAAACTCAGTCAATGAGTAAGTAATACGCGTTTCGACGATCATGTCTCTTTCGATTCATGGTTGACTTTCTCGAAATCGGATTAACTGGCTTCCAACCAAGGCTACAGGATCCAATCTGTCTGGATCCAACCCATTTCTAGGGGGAAAGAAGAGATGGATTCATACCTTTCCCAAGGGTATTTGCTCGGAATTGAACATAATAAATCCGAATGGAATTCGAACTCGGATCTTCGATTTCTCATACAGAGCCCTTATCTATTACACAACACCGCACTTTGAATTCTACATGATTTTCATTTTGAAAAATGCTTCGCACATATGGGTATTTGCTAATTCATGTCTTAGGTCACTTTTTTTAACGAATATCATTTTTGACGCCTGTTTGTCTCGCGGTGTCCATTTTTTCGATAGCAAGTAAACGAATTAATGTCTGTTTACAATAGTTTCTTGAAGGCATAAAATCAAAACTGAAATATCAACAAAGACAACCGAATGTAATTTCATTCAGTGAGTGAATTCATTTGATAAAACCAATCAATAAGTAACTTCCGGCTAATAGTCATTCCTGTTTATTATATCTTTCCATTTATTTCTCCGATATTTATGTATAGAAGGTAAGTGTGCGCTTAATTTGCACACATATTGGTCAGGTTTACAATACCTATCGATCTATTATTTTATCTATAAATATAATTTCGGTCGTAAAGTATGTATTACTTTTTTCATTTATCTTCTGTCGATTAATAATACAGCTTATTTTATTTTTATTTTTTTTTTATTATTAATATGGTTTAATAAGTCTATCTTAGTTTGGCACAAGGCCAGAATAGTGGCGCTCCCCTTTAGGATCAATTTCACTACAATCTATTTTCATTAATTTTATCAATAGTAAAGCAGAGTAAACGAAAAGGACACGCATTTAGAACCAAAAAGAGATATTTGAGACCTGGGGGCTCACCTAACATGGTAGGGGGGGTCACCTAATGTGGAAATAAGAATTTGACACGAACGAGACATGCTGGGGCAAGAAAGAACAGGCTATAAATTGCCTAAGGAATTTAGGTAAAGGTATGGCAAACACAGTTACTAGCAGAAATGGTAAGGGGGAAAACAATGCTTAGAGATATAAAAGCTGTGGAGATCAGTGCTCAACAATGTCCATGGTATACCTTCCATAATAGAAGAAATATTCGAATTGTCACTTATTAATTTTTTTAAAACTAATATTCTCTTCTCACCAAATCTTCTTTCTACGATTGATAAGTTCTTCCACGATACTTAAGCAACACGGATCGGGAATAAAGACTAAGCTTCCGAGGAATACTCTCTTACTATGTCAGCTTTCTTACCGATTAAGCTACAAAGACCAGTCGGTGAGCATCATTCATTTTTAACTTGAAAGCTATACTTCTCCGTTCAACATATACAATCATTTTGTTTGTTTATATTCACACGAGTAATATTCGAATTTATTGGAATAAATATATTGCTATAAATCTTGAGTAACGTTTCTGTCCTCAACTATCTTGCCTACGCGAAAATTCTCAGAGAATAAATAGAATGAATTTGTAGAGTCATGTTCGCTTACGTCCTGAAGGTACATAGTAGTGAAGAATAATAATAATAATGTGATTTAACCTTTAACATACTGAAAGTGATTTTGCTTGTAAAGTAAAAATTTTATCCCGCCACTGTAAGTGACTCAGATGAATGAATAATTTAGTGTTTGAATTTTGCAGTTGTGTTGTCATATCCTGCTATGGCAACAGAAAATGATCATGGCTAAAATTAAATAGTGTCGTAGAGGAGCATTGAAAACCAATGCTGTAGAAATAAAAGTAGTGAATAATGCAGAGTGTTAACGGTTAATTAGATAAACAAGTTTGGGAGCTTTCTTAGCCTAGAAGCTCCGCTGATTTGGCTCATTAAATTAAAGCTGTCTTCAAGCCCTTACAATCTTACGAGCTGATTTTAGGTGAAACTATCATAGGGAGGAAGACACGTCGATTTTATATAATTTCGAATTTTTTTGTTCTGTTAATACTTTGTTTATTGAGCACTTTTTGTTGATCTGATCAATTTCAAATTGGTAAAAGCTGCGTTGAGGTATCTGCACTTTCCGTTTTCAAGTATAGACTTTTATTGTTATTTTGGTATTATAATACTATAATGTAGCTATATGCATGTTTATACCTGTGTGCATATAAAAGGTATTATACAGGGGGATTGAAAGGTAACTTCCTATTTTATGTATGATGTAAAAATTATAGTTTGAAGTCCGTCATACATAACATAGGGAGTTACTTTTCAATCACACAGTATATTTAAATACGGCCTCACAAATACATACACATATGTGATATATAACATCATGCATATCTATATCACTAATATATAGTTTTATATATATGATATTATATGAATGTGTGTATGTGCGCATGCCGTTCTAGAAGTGAAACCCCTATAGAGAAAAAGAAAAAACAAAAACAAAAAAAAACATGGCAGGCAATGGATGACATAGCCAGGTAAATGGCCGAGGTGGTTGAAGCAACGTTGATATAATTGAAAGAAAGGGAAATATATATATATATATATATATATATATATATATATATATATATATATATATATATGGAAGAGAAACTGTCTCGTGACAGTTTTCAAGAAAATGATAAAGAAAACGCAGAAGGCCCCGCTACAAAATACGCACATAAAAACTCAAGATCGTAAGAGCGATAGAAAATAGAACGGGAAACGGCGATGGAGTGTTGGTGAAGAGCGTCCGAAAGAAAGACAGATAATAAGCGAAGAACTGCGGCTGTGGGTTTGGGCCGGCAAACGACGCATTAAATATGGTTTATGTCCGTCAAGTTTTGCAAAATACTCAGGATTGTGCTTGGTCAGTGTTTTCGGCCGAATAAGAAACGTATCAGCTGAGAACGCTGGCCTATTAAGGAAGCATCGAGAACTCTCTGGACGCTGACTTCCCTTATGAATCCATAACTAAAAGACATGTCATTCCTATTCAACAACAGTTTCCACACGCTAAAGAGTGGCTATAGCGAAAATTTCGTCTCGATTTATGGTTGACAGAGCGTGAATTGCGGTATCGTTGGTTGGGGTTGAGGAAAGAAAGAAAAAAAAAGCTAGGAAGAAAAAAAAAGATATAGAAATATAAAGCAAACAAAGAAAGGTATATAACGTACAAAGGTTGACGGAATAAAAATGACGGACTGACGATTTAGGGAGAAGAAGATGCAAAGAAAGATGAGAAAAAAACGGACTCTATTTGGTTGCACGGAGAATTACGGTTTGTCGTCTGAGTCGAAATGGGTGGGAGAGAAAAAATTGGCCGTTAAAGAAAAACTCGATTGCAGTAGATGTCGAGAAAAGAAGACGAGGATAGGAGATGGAGTGAAAGAGATAGAGGGTTTAAATAGAGAGGAAAATATTTAAGATAAATTGATAGAATGAAATGAACGGAGAGAGAAATAGAGAGAAGGTGGGAAGCGGTAAGAATGATATTTAAAGCCAAGTAAAGGGATGAGAATAAAAACAATAAGAAAAACGATAGTAAAAAGTAAGCAAACACTCGGGGAAAATATAAAAAGAAGCAGTAAAAACAGTGAATAACTTGCGTCTTATACAAGATCAACTTTTTTTTTCTTTTTTTATTTCTGCTGGTCATGAAGGCAATCTGGAAGGTATAGTTAGAGAATGGAACGGTGGGGGTACGTTACGGGGAAGGTGGTGACAGATTCTTCTACGAGTCCATGAATCAAATCTAAACCAATATCTCGCTAAATTGGAAGATTTCTCCATTTTGGGGGGTGGGTATGGGAGAGAAGGTAGCTGCCATCATTCAGCTTTTCATCCACCTTATTTCCTCCTCTTCCATAACACATCTTTCTCCAACCTTATTTTTTTTGTTTTTTTTTTTTGGTCTGTGTTGTTTCTATCACATCTTCTGCCTCAGCTCAATCTTTAAAATAATGTATTTATTTTTCTCGGTAAACCTATTTTTTATCGCATTTTTCCATATCTTATTCTATTTGAATGAATTCATACGAGCGCACAGTTTGTTGTTGTTTTTTTATTTTCCTTGTTTATTTTGTTTGGTGATTACCTTTGTTAGTTTATTTCTTCATTGTTGTCATTTATTTGCTTTGGTATTAACAATTTTTCAGTATCTTGTGTCTAAGTGTGGGAGTGAATGCAATGTCTGCGTTTATTTTTCCTTTTCATTATGGCAATATTTCTTCCGCCATTATTCTTTAGTGATTCTTATCTGTGTAAGAGTGGCAGAATGCTTTATTCTTCTCTTCGAATGAAAGTAATGGAATTTTTGCATTTATCCTTGTTAAAAAGAAAAGGCGTTGATATTTTTGTATCACTCCAAGAAATGAAACTGTGTAACTGGAAGAAAAAAATCTTATGACTGTGCTTAATGGACCAGTAATGGAGTTTTTGTTTGCAATATTAAAAATTGCTTTTACAGTAAGAGATCAAAACTAAACATGGAATAATCTACCTGAAATCGTAGGTAACAGTATTAAAAAAATAAAGGTAGGCTTAGTTAAAATATAACCCAACAAAACAGAATTGGCGTTCTGATTTAAAGGAGCCAAATCCTGAATCCAGGTAACAACTAGAACATTGCAGTTTTCAAAAGTCATCTTTAATATACATTTTCAAATTCAGCACATGTGATTACAGCTTCTTTATTTTTATTTACTTATTTACTTATTTTTAGTGATTGTCATATTTGATTTAAAACTGGGCAAGGTTGTATTAGAGAAAACTGGAAGAGACAGAGTGCAGGGAAAATAACGGATTTAATTTGCAAGCTCAACTCACCCAGTGCCGTAAGGATAGACAGCCATTGACGGATCATAAGGAAAATAGGAAGCTGGTTGAGCTAGAGAACGAAGACCGTCTGGGTTATCTTTGACATCGTAAGGACCATTCTGTAAAAAGAAAATTAAATTAAATTAGATTTTTAATTAGAGTAATAAAAATACTGTAGATGTATGTGCTTGTTTAATCATACATTTTAGGACCTTCTTCTTGATCCTTGTAAGTACAAGAATGTCATGTACACACCACATGGATATAACTGCATGTAAAATATTATAATTCTACAAGAAATAAAAGAATACACATACACACACATATATATATTGATGTATATATGTATGTACATATATATGTATATATATGATATATATGTATGTATGTATATATATATATATGTATATATATATATATGTATATATATATATATATATATATATATATATATATATATATATATATGTATATATATATATATATATATATATATATATATATATATATATATATATATATATATATATATATATATATATATATATATATATATATATATATATATATATATATATATATATATATATGTATATATATATATGTATATATATATATATATATATATATATATATATATATATATATATATATATATATATATATATATATATATATATATATATATATATATATATATATATATATATATATATATATATATATATATATATATATATATATATATATATATATATATATATATATATATATATATATATATATATATATATATATATATGACCGGGCCTTCGGCTACATCAGAAGTTTGAGAGTCCGTAAGTCTTTGCATATTTTCAGCATTGGAAGCTATCCTGGCTGTTGTTTGATCTGGCTTTTCATTTACACGGGACTTTTTTTCCTTGCTGCAACCTTAGCATTTTCATTTTCTTTTTTTCATTTTCATTTAATCCGGTCTTTTGTTATCATCAAAATTTCAGGATTAAGGGTCCGGATCCGGCCCGTGATGTTTTTAATTAGCTTTGTCGGCCTGATTCCAAAATGGTATGATCTATTGATCTACGACCTCTAGGAGTAAAGTTGAAAAAGTTTGATACAGGGACACACTGACATTCGCACGTATTATAGATATATATGTGTGTGTGTGATGTGTGTGTGTGTGTGTATATATATATATATATATATATATATATATATATATATATATATATATATATATATATATATATATATATATATATTTCCACTGCGTGCCAAATTATTATCGAGATAATTTTTTTAATATTTCAAAAACCGTCCAATCAATTCACACAAAATTTTCACACAATGTTGGCAACATGGAACTGTGCAATTGCTGAAATGTTTGTACTGATCTGCGCAATGGAAACAAACTGGCGCCATATTTGTTATCAGCACGGTGATTTGACCGTGCCAAATTATTAGAAAAGTATAAGAATTTAGTGAAAAGATGGGCCGTAAAAGCAGTGATGCAGAAAAGAAAACTATTACCTCAGAACTCTCAAAAAGTAAATCTACCCGAGAAATTTTTAAAATGATAGGGAAGTGTCATCAAACAGTGAAAAACTCACCGCTGACCCTACACAGGTACGCAAAATGGCAGATAAAGGCAAGCCAAGTGTTATTTCACGTTGTCTCATGTCACGACTTAAACGAGAGGCCACGAAGAACCCTGGACTTACCAGTCAAGAGCTTTTCAGTCGTATTGGGGATCATACTGTGTCTAAAAGTATTCGGTGTCGGTATCTGAGGGAAATAGCAACAACAGTCAAACCTGTATCGAAATCACATTTAAAATCGATTGAAATGGGCCGAGGACAATATGAAGATTCTCTAAAGTTTTGTTCACAGACGAAACTCGAGCAACACTTGATGGGCCAGATAGATGGTGCAAAGGCTGGGTAATGAACGGACAGAATCGCCACCAGTGTTTGAGACGCCAACAAGGCGGTGGAAGCATAATGATCTGGGGCGGTACTTTTAGAAACACATTTTTGGGCCCATGGAGAGTACCAGATGGCGTCAAAATGACTGCTGATGCATACATAGCATTTATGACGGAGCATCTTGAACCGTGGATAAAAAGGCAAAGAGTTGTCTTCAGAAGGGCCATTGTTTTTTATGCAAGATAATGCTCCCTCACACGCTGCTCACAGGACTACTGAATATTTGAAACAGTTAGACTTCGATGGACCTCGAAAAATGAAGTGGCCAGCAAATTCTCCGGATTTGAACCCAATCGAAAACCATTAGAGCATCATGAAGCGAAGACTGTACGCCAACGGACGACAATTCAGGAGCAACGCTGAGTTATGGGAAGCAATTCTTGACATATCTCGCGGCATTACAGCAGATGACATCCTACAATTAACAAATTCTATGGATCGTCGACTTTTTCAAGTAATTTCAAAACAGGGAAAGCACATTCCCTATTAATTTGTTTAAAACTGTGCCTTTCTTTGTATCTGTTATTATTTGTTTGATTATCTTATTTATTAGCTTCTTTTAATCATAAACATTCACGTGCAGCATTAATAAACGTTTTGTTTGCTCAATTCTGGGAATTTTACTAAACCTTTCTAATAATTTGGCACGATCAAATCACCGTGCTGATAACCAATATGGCGCCAGTTTGTTTACATTGCGCAGATCAGTATGAAAATTTCAGTGATTACGAAGATCAGTGTTGCCAACATTGTGTGAAAATTTTGTGTGAATTGATTGGACGGTTTTTGAAATATTAGAAAAAATGTTATCTCGATAATAATTGGCGCGTGTATATATATATATATATATATATATATATATATATATATATATATATATATCAAATTTTAATATATAATTAATTATATCAAACTGAGTATAAAGATATCGAAAAATGAGAAAACATCAATCATTTGCTAGAACTTCCTGACGGAAATGTTACTATAACATAATTCAGCTAAGTAACAAATTTTATATTTGTATTTACCCATATATAATGATAGATAGATAAAAATAATCTATGTATAAAACATCTTTGAACTTAATAATAACTTATATATTTTTTTATTATATCATAATATTAATATCATATTCAGCATTCATTGACCAAGTAGCCAGTATTACAGTCGGTGGAAATTTATAACATTCTTATTTAAACAATTTTTCAGGAAAAAAAGCTCTCTTAAGTTCAGTAGCTGTTATCGCTCTTTCCCGTATTGACAAGGACTTTCTTTACTAAATTGTTATTAGAAGTAGTGCAGAATGTCATCATCATGATTATGTCATGATTTTTTTCTTGTGATCTCCATTTTAGTTCTTGCTGTTGGTGAAAGTCCTAAAGTGATGTGGTTTCTGCTATTTGGTACAGTTCTTTATTTGTGATTGTATAGCGCCAGCCCACAAGTTCGAAGAAACGTGGTTTTCGCTAAGATCCACAGGATTCATTCGCTTTACTGCTCGACCATGAAGAACGTAAATCACATTAGATCAAAAGGGGGAACGCAGGTTCGATCCCTGGCGGGGAATGCATTTTCTTTACTAAAATCTTTCGAATGCGAATGGCGATAAGCGTGACACAGTGTTGAATAAATGAAAACAAGACGTCTATTTCAAATAAGAGCTATCCACAGTAATAACGTTTGAAGTAATATATATGTGTATGTGTGTGTTTGTGTGTGTGTATGTATGTTTGTGTGTATGTATGTATATCTATTTTGTATCGTTATATTCAACAGGTAAAAACAACAACATAACCAGGTAAAATATGGTTGGTTGTTGTGTTCTAGAGGCATACATTCACTATCTATATTTTTTGGTATTGACACATTTTCTAATGATATTCGACCACCGGACTAAATGAATTCATTATTTTCCCAAGGGAATTAATGCGAACTAAATATAAACAACCTTAGACGAAATTCGAACTCTGTTCACCACTTCTATTTTCCGCGTCAGTAACCGTTACGTCAACCAACACATTTTTTTTGTTGATGTTCGTTGTTTTTGAAAGGGAAAAATAATACTTTGCATATATTTATACACATGAGATGAATCAGTAAGTCCGTAAGCTAACAAGTTAGACAAAATTAGTTGAATTTTGATGAGAGTTTTTTGCATTGTAATGTTCCATCTTTGTGATTAATGAAAACGCTTAGGTTAAATGCATTACAAATGAAGGAGACTATGCTGAAAAAATAAATATTCATTAAGAAAAAGGAATGCTTTTTTCGCCATCAGGATTAGGCAATTATTACTACATCTACAAGCATACATACATGCCCATTGCCCAAGTACATATATACGAAGAGCACATTATTTTTATGTCTCACCAATGTGCTACCCGGTAGACAGTGTTTACAAAAAAAAATCTCCCCAAAATGATATGTATGCTCATACGTCGGGAAACCACTAAAAGAAGGTTGGGAATAAAATTTCAATTGCTGATACCCTCAGACGAGAGGATGGAATGGTTGATGGACGGTCCGTCGACAAAAATCTGGAGTCGGGATGCTGAATGTAACACCTATCAGCTAAATGTTATATTTGCATTAATTATATATATATATATATATTTTTTTTTTCAACTTAAAGAGACACAACTTTCTAACATTCAATAGGTCACTTCAAATGAAAAAAACAAAAAAAAACTGTTCTTAACTTACAATGTTTCAAAATAAAATTGTCCTTGTTTTCAACTTTATTCCTAGAGACCGTAACCCAACATATCATACCATTTGGGAATTAGGCCCAAATCCGTGATCAAATTAAAACCATTCCGGGTTTGATACGCACCAGCCATCCTGAAATTTTGGATTTCCAAATTTTCATTACTACGTGATATTTTGCGATTAATTTTTTCTACGATAACAATTTTTATAACTTGGAAATAAATTTGGTAATAATCGGAATTAATTGCGAAATTCAGCGAAAGTCACCCTTGAAATAAAAATAATTGTTTGTACGGAAAGTAAGGACCTACATACAACAAATTGTCTTTAAATTAAGTGGC